GTGTGTCCATCATCGGCTCGCGAGTATGCGGGTTCGCGTTCCGTCTATGAACTTCTTTGCTCTTTCCTTCATTGAGATGCATTCGAAGAGCTTGGTACGCCGTGGGAAGTGCAACACAACGGTTGCCTGAGATTGTCCCCGTGTGCCAGGCCTCGACTGTTTCTCTGACCACGCGGTCATTTCCTCGACCCAGAATTTCGGCATCATGGAAGGAGCATTTGTGTCCGGAATTCGCGCAGTGTTCTGCCACCAACGATAGATATACATATATACATGTCGATGTCGAATACATTTCTTAGGAGAGGTATCTTATTGTGCAAATTTACAACGCTAGTTCCACAGATCATCGTCGCCAGATGCAGAGTAAACTAAAAGTGCAAAGAAACAGTGAACACAACTTGAGTGCACGATCATCCTCACTACATGTCTTACGAGCTATATGATTTCATCCTGATTATTTTTTGTCGGTTTTATGATTATGAATATTTTATGATTGTGATTATTTTTTTCATGTGTTGTTTTATTACACTGTTTAGTATTGCACTGTTCAGATATATTAGATGACCCATCTTTGAGTGCACAGGAGGGGTTGTGTAGGTGAACAAAGACAATTAAACGTTTGCAGGTAACAAAAACATAAAATTCACCATGTGTGCGCTTCCGACCTGCCCCTCCAGGGGGTCAGTGTTATGTTTGGAGATTGGATTAGAACTTAAGTTTGGTTTAGGTGCCCACGTGAATTATCACCCTTCTCAGACAAAGTCGCAGTACAAAATACGGAACCGGTAGGTCCCGAGGTAAATGATTAAAGCAACTCACGCGGTTGTCATCACTTGCGAGGATTCCAGCCTTTTGAAACTTGATAATATGACTGGGTCCCGTCGAGTGAGAATTGAGTGGAGTAAGAATCCAAAACCTCAGGCAAATAAAACTCTTGTTTCAACGATCATATCTTATCCTTCTACGGTTATATTATTACTGGCAGTGCTCGACTATTACATAGTATAGTTGTAATAGTAGTGAAAAAAGAAATAATAATAGTTAAAAAAATTGCTAATACGAGCGAACATGCGAGTTTCAAGAAGTAATTGAGAAATAGAAGACGACGCGACACGGTATGTGGATGACACCTTCGCCATCGTCGAACGGGATCAGGTGCTCACGTTTAAGAAGCGTCTCAATAGCGTCTTCCCGGACATCCAATTTACGATGGAGGAAGAAGAGAACAGCCAACTGGCCTTCCTTAATGTCCTCGTCTGTTGTAAAGATTGTGGTGGCCTAAAGACTAGAGTATTCAGGAGAGCGATAAACACGATTCAAGTACTGAATTACAACAGCAACAACCCAATCAGCTACAAACGCAGTTGCGTAAGGACGCTCTATCGGCGTGTTGAGACGCACTGCAGTAAACCAGAAGATAAAGTTGCCGAGATACAATACCTTCGACGAATGTTCAGTGAAAATGGCTATACGCGCAAATTCGTCAACCGGTGCTTGCGCAAACGAGATGTCCGACAAAGTCGCACGGACCCCAAAATTTGGTGAGCGATCCCGTACGTCAAAAACGTCTCGGCGGTTGTCGGCCGCCTTCTCGCACCACTTGGATTTGGAGTCGCACACAGACCGAAGCAACTATAAGGCGTCAGATCATGAAACCGAAAGACCAACTGCCACGGCAAGAAACATCTGGAGTCGTCT